TCGTAACATTGAACACATTGAATACGTAACATTGAATTTATGTAATAGAATACATTCTATTACAAATACATTCTATTACAAAAATGGCTAATAAATAGTAAAAACAGCAAGAAAATTGCATTGAAAAAGTTTATGTCTGAACGCAGATCGAAAATCATGAGAACACGGCTTTCAATGTCAACATAAAAGGGACTCTCCTCGAAGTAATGCGAAAACAATCCCGAGAGAGAATAAGTCTTTGCGAAGAGGTGGTATATTACATATTAATGTTAGTGAACCGGGGACACCATTCCGATGACGGTCGGTCTGACGGCGCATAAAGCATACCACATCCAAAAAAGGTGACATTCCACAAAAAAAAAAGAAAAATAACAAAAGTGGCGGAAATCTATCACTCAAAAACGTCGCTTAATGAGATTGATTATTCCTTTTTTCTAAATCCCTGCGGAATTTAAGCAGCATTTATACTTGTTTTTGTCTGAAAGTGATAATCCCTGAAATTGTGATTATCATAAATCAATTTTAACTATTTTAAATGATTGATGAAATCATGATAACTCAACCACTTAAAATTCCCTAAACACATAATAGAACGAGTCAATTTTGACTCCACATTCATAAAACCTGAAGTCAGGTGGTAAGACAATAATTTCGTGATAAGTTGGGTATGTTAACTAGTCAACAAGTTTCGGAATACCACCTTCCAACTGAGATGAAACCAAAAAGGAACGATAAAGCCAATCAAAACTGAAAAAGATGACAGTTTTTTTAATAACAGTGGTGTCATTTACTCAGAATTTCTACCGGAAGATTAGAGAGTATATAAAGAATTTTACTTAAACATTATGCAGTGTTTGACAGATAAAACTTGTTGTTTATTCTAACAAAACAAAATACTTTTTGTTTTTAAACGATTATATACATTCATAAGAAATTTGAACTTACCATCCCAGCATTGGTGGACAGGTTATAGCTAAAGCTAATAACCATACGATGAGTATCATTATAAGAGCCAATCGCTTAGACCGTCGTTTACGCGAATAGGTCAAAGGTTGTGTTACTGCTAGATATCTGAAAGAAACATTTATAGCTATAGTTTTAGAGTAATATTGAAATATGTATTAATTACTAAGCATCAATACTTTGTGTATGATGATTATAACTATTTAGTTAGATAGTGTTTGGGTACAGATATGAATATTGCAAAGTTGTATAATCAAAATGGAATATTATGAAATATATTTTATAAGAACAGTACAAATTCATTACAAACAATTTCTTTATATATTATAAGATTTGGGACTATAAATCAAAAAGTTTAAAGTAATTATTTATAAGGATCGCCATTTTTACACACTTTACGTGCATTTCCAATATATCAGTAAAATGCTATTCAGGCCATAAAATACAGGACAGTAAAACATATTTTCGGGTACAATAAATTATTAAGCCATTTGAATTTCTTTGACATATCTTGAACATATAGCACAAGAGTCGTATCGTTGTAAAACAAATCTTTTATTAAAAAAACTACAAGAAAAATGGGTCTCACCTCATATAATAAAAGTTAAGAACTATGAACATCCTTTTCAGAGGAATTTTAAGTATCAGAAAGTTGGGACACATTCCAACAAAACTTATCTCAAACTGCAAGACCTCTTTCTAAATATCATTATAACCTTTGCCAATATTTCTAAGTGGTCTCAACATTTGAGTTTTTAATTATACGGTAATACAATGAGTCTATAGGCCTAAGTGGACCCCTTGGGATTACTGGTATTATCTATACTAACTTAAGTGCCTAAATAATCATTTATTTATTATTTTTAATAAATTAACTTATTATTAATTTAATATTAATTAAATATTATTTTTATTTAAGAGATTTAAATTATTGTTAGTAGCCTTAAAATTCATAATTTTAACCAACTTATATAAAATAATATGAAAATTGAAACGAATCACAACAAACTTTTACAATTTATATCTGCTAGTTCTTCCAATTCTGTGGTCTGAATATTTTTTTATTCTAGATATGATTTCAGAAAGTTGATTTTTAATGATAATAAACACCGTCTGTAATATGTATTTTTTCACAATTATTTGAGTAGTCTTAATAAGAATTCCTAATTTATTGTTCTAGTCAGAAATGTACTAGTAACTTAAATAGTCAGTTTAATGTTTTATTTATAAATAGCATAAATTTACTATATGTAACTAATAATGGGCCGGTATACTCAACTGCTTCTGAAATAGTATATTTCGTTGGTTAGATAATTCTTTTTTAGTAGTTAGAAGTGTATTTAGAAAACGCACAGATAGAAAAATGCTATGAATCTCACTGTGTTAAGTATACATATAGTATATAATATCATTCACGCCTAAGTGCCGTCCCTTAAACCAATGATCCGCAACCGATGGTCCGAAATGGTTAAAAATCAAAATGGTTCGTGAATCAAATTTAACATGTGTGGATACATAGCTTGTAGTTTCTCCACTGACATCTCATTTATAAAAAAACACTCACAAAAAATTTCCAATTAATTGGAAATATATCTATTTTATAGCCTATTAGGCATATTAAAATAATCATTATTAAGCTAATAAACAATTATCGTTTTTTTGTTTTTGTTTTTTTGCCTAATATGCAAATATGAACTTATAAAATCAATATATTGTTGATAAATATGTATAATAAATACATATACAGTTCGACTTCCATAACTCGAACTTCTATAACTTGAATTTTCTATAACTCGAATCAAAAACAGTGCTCCAAGGTTTTAGAGAGCATATTACATACAATTTTGCTTCCATAACTCGAATTTCTCTATAACTCCAACAAAAATTTATTCTGTGCCGATAGCAATATGGGAAAGTGCATTCGATTAGTCGAATTTTTGTCTTAAGTATAAATCCATTTTGATGTTAGGGGAAGTCCCTTTTTCAGAACCAAATGTTTGATTTTTTTCTTTTATATATTGCTTCTTTGTGTAAATGTCAGTCGCTGACAGCGTAGTAAAGTAAATAAAAGTAAAGTAAATAAAATAACTTCCAATGCTGCTCTTAACGATTATATTGAGCTTGACAATGAAATTTGTACATTAAGTTTTCCTACAGATGACGATATTATTGAGCTCCAAATACATAATTCTAAATTAGTGGATGCAATTCTAAGCGCAACGAAAACTGATGATGAGGTGAATGTAATTGTTCATCAGCCTTTCAAGAATGAAGTAGAAGACTCAATCAAAATTCTGATTTTTTATTTGCAAACGAATGATACTACAACTGATGATCTTTATAAGAGTTTGAATAAAATGGAATCTCTTTTTACTGAAAATAAGAAAAAATTTAAAGTCCCAAACCTTAATTTCTGAATATTTTACTTCACTATAACTTCTGTGCTTTATTTGATTGCAAATAAATAAATATCTTAAACTGAGATTCTAGTTTCTTTGAAAAATAAAAAAAAAATAAAAAAATTCTTTAACTCGAAGCCTCCATAAGTTGAACCTTTGCTTTACAAAATGGTACTTATAGTAATGGAAGTAAGACTGTTTATATGTGTAATAAATTTATAAAATTTTTAAGTAAAAGATTCAGAACTACAGTGCAACAATTACATTTACATACAAACTTATAAAATTAAAGAGTATTTTCAAAAACCAATACTTGTATTCCTGGAAACATCTCTGGATCTATGAGCCGTTCAAAAAACTGAATTAATTACAGATAAAAGTTTTGTTATTGAATAGTTTGTTCAATTCAAAAACTTCAATTAGTAAAATACTTTTCTTTCATCATTATTGACTTTAACAATTTAAATTTAATTTAAATATTAATTTTTATAAAATTTGATTTATGTTCACTTAAGAAATATAATGAAAGGTCATAAAAAAAAAAATACTTTGAATTTCAAAAAAAATATTTCAATTTAAAAAATAGAAAATATCTCTTAGTAATATTTTATACTTAAGAACAAAAGTTTTCATATATCTCAGATTTACAGCAAATTTTATACATTTTCTATTAATTTCAATATTTTCTCCTGGCACATTTCTACAATTTTTACAATTTTCCGCTGTGCTATAAACGTGTAGCAATGCACCTTTTCATGTTCATAAATGTTTATGTGAAGGGGATTTGAAACTTACCTATCCACGCTTATGGCGCAAAGGCTCAAAATTGATGCTGTACACAGGAGCACATCCAAGGATATCCAAATGTCGCACAACACCCAACCCAACTGCCAGGAGCCTGTAAATGAGATTAATGAACACCTTTTAGCTGCTAAAAGTTGTAAACAAGTTAAATTAAGATAAAAGCAGAAAGGTTGAAATAAAACGTGAACGAACTAAAAATTTGTATTCGTTAAAGCATTTTTGCAAAATAATTTTGACAAATGTTATAAATATTTGAACAGTTTAAATAGTTTTTAAAATATTACAAATTTACGCTGCCTCATTTAAATTGGAGCAGAAAAAGATTAGTGGAGCAAAAAAATTAAAATTATTTTTTTTACAGCAATTTTATTTTGTTGGAAATGTTCCTGTCCTATTTCGCGTTATTCTTCTCCATTTCTATATTAAGCTGTAACAAAATGTTAAATAGAAAAATTCGTTTAACTCTGTAGAAAAAAAAAAAATATTACGCCGTTGGACCAAATTAAGATTGAGTCAGTAGCAAAAACTGGCTCTAAGTCACTTTTAATTAGAAGGTAGAAGAATCCTTCTGTTTACTTTGACTTTGACTTTCCATTCGGCTACAATGTTTACTACAGTGTTTTATGTTCAGACTACAGACAGTGCACTAAAAAGCAGAGAGATACACAGTTCATCCTGTCTTGTTGGAACATTTTACTTTGTGTGAAAGCATAAAATGAGTGGCAAATTTATAACTTTTTTATGATTTTTAGTCTTTGCTGTGGAAGGTAAATGTTGCAAAAACGTTAGCAAAACTTTTATGTTCAATTTTATACAATTTTATACAATACAAAAAACAAAATATCATTTGTCAGAGATTTATTGATGACAGCCATGGCAGGCACCTCACTGAAGTGTACCACTCTGGTACACTCGTACGAATATTTAAATTTCTACTTTAATATTGAGAAGTAAATTTGATTTTATGCTGGCCTACTCTCCAATGGCATTTAGTACTGCTTACAGTAAACCCAAAACAGCAATGCTCCACAGAAAAAAGGCAAAGGTTTTTAAAGTGATTGACTTTTAACCGCAAATTAAATGAACAATTTTGCATGGCAAACATTTATGGCTTTTCAATTTCTTAACAAAATTATTATGAAATTACAAGTACGGCAAAACGTTATGGTTTGTAAATTTTAAGGGTAAATTTGTAAATGGAGCGATAGCAAATGGTTTCCTGAAATTTGATGCTTTCTTGTAAAAGGTGCTGTCGAACAGGATACGTAATGCCAGTATATCGAAATCGTAGATGAAATATGCATTTGTTGTGGTTATGTAATCAGTTGTGCTATTTAAATTTAATCAAATTTGGCTTAAGCAGAAAACCGAAGAAGTTAATTTAAAACAAATTTTAATAAAATAACGAAATTTAGCAGAAGTGCACATTTTTTCGTATTTTCTATTTTAAAATTTAATTTAATATTTGCGCACTGTTTCAAGCTCAAAATCACTTTTAATCAGGAAGATTTATGCGTACACAAATTTCAATGGCTTAAATGAGTTGTTAACATATTTGCATGCTTGAGTCTATTTGTTAATATTCTCTCCTTAATTTTCAAAATGCTACACGACTTATGGCCCTGTAATTAAACAGTCGAGATGCGTGTGATTTCAACAAAACAATTAAGCACGACACATTCAGTATAATGGTGTATGACTAACAGTCAACGAACAAAGTAATGGTACAAGTAACAGACAATTCACTTACTCGTATGAGCTATTCGCACTATTCACACTATACAGCAGTAAACTCACTTTCTACTGAATATGTTATATAAAACTAATAGTTTTGTGGTTCCAAAAGTAAACATAAAGAAAACATAAAATATTTTTATTTTGATATATTTGTTGCAATTAAATGGTAAATACAAAATATGTTCCAAGTCGCTCATGGGACATCTTATTGTAGTTTGTTGGTAATAATTCAACCAATATCTCAAAGACGTTTGTTTACAAATTCACTGCATAGCTACAGACAAACAAATTCCGATCGTTGTACACACAATTTGTATTTAAGAAAAATTAATTTGAGTTAAAATATATAACATTTATGTATTTTTTCTATTTTATTATAATTAATTACAAAATATAAAAACGTATAATTAAGATAGGAAAAGTAAGCGCTAGCTGCTAGAACCCTCGGCTCGATATATAACATTTTTCATAGTAACGAAACAAATAATGCTAGAAAAGCCCAATTAATTCTTATATACAGAGTTAGGCGATTGAAGTATTATCAATTACAAACAGGTATATATGCCGAAATGATATAGCCAATCCCGTGAAATTCATAAAAATGACAGCAGTTTATATTGTTTACAAGCTGTCACAAGCATTTGCGTCTAATTTTTATAGAGTTAAGTTATTCGAAGTGGAATTCAAACGGAAAAGAGTGATTGCTTTCTATTTGGCTGGAAAATCACAACAACTATTGTTTGTGAGCTCATATACCTCAAAGTGAATAAAATGTTTGTTATGTTGAGCTTTTTCCAAGTTAGTGCATCTGAACACTTCAACTCTTTAAAAGCTTGAGGGTTTCTGTAGAATTCCACCCATCTCACTGACTAAGTTGTGTATTCCTCATAAGCTTCGTGATTATTCATTGACTGATCTAAGATCTGCGTACCGCCCCTTGTGGTTAGTGATTACTCTGAGATTAGATAGTGTTAAGTAGGGCAGCCTGTCGGTTTTCGCTTATAGCTTCACGGCTCTGTCCCTTATGTATTTTTTGACCGGATTTATTCTAAGGTCTCTTAGCATGTCATTCGTGCGGATATACCATGGCACTTTGTGACGATTTTTTCCAACACGTCACAAATAAATTATGATAGTTGAAAATAGCATGAAGTTATTATAGTAAACAAATAAAAAAAAAAAAACCCAACAACAGAATTAAACTATTTTAGTCGAAACAAAATATATATATAGCATGAAGTTGTTATTATTATTGTAAACAAACAAAACAATAGAATTAAGCTATTATTATAAATCCAAACCCACGGAAAAAAATATTAGTCTAAGCTATGAAAAAATATATAAAGTATTAATAAAGTAAAAGGAATTATTTTAGATAGTAATAAGATAGTAATAGTAGTAATAAGTAATTATAAATTATCATAGAATTTAGTTATCAAAATTAAAAGAAACAATAAATCCTTTGAAAATACAAATTAAGTAATAATACTTCCGATTTCTTTGAGGGTAATTATTTTTGAAAAATTTTATTAATAAATATGCAGCGAACAACAACAGCAGAACATAGCGAAATCAGTCGCAGGCAATAACAACTTAGAAGAAAGCTACACAGTATGCACTCAGAAGTCAGTTATCCCGTTATATAAAATCCGTATAAAAGGAGAAGCAAAGTAAAACACAGGAACTTGGCCACAGCACTTCGAACAGTGCACATCACCAGAGGAACTTGGCCACAGCACTTCGAACAGTGCACATCACCAGAGGGACTTGGCCACAGCACTTCGAACAGTGCACATCACCAGAGGTTCAATCACAGGTCGTGAAGCAGACCACTTGTAAAGAACCTTTTTTTTTTCTCTCAAGCCGGGGTTTTTCTCGCCGGATCCCAGAGTCGTTACAAGAATATT